GAGACATATTATTACATTAAAACTGACATGCAATAGTCAAATCACATCCTCTTTTCACCCACAAATTAAAATAAATCGTCCATTTTTTTCCATCAATTTAGTGGGGTTTTCTTGAACTACTGAATTTAGTCGTTTTGTTATAAATGAAACCAATTTGAAAACTAAACGACCTTTTATATTTTTATAGTTTGGATGCCCTAGCTATTTAAGTTTCTTTACAAATTTCGGTCATTAAAGTATTGTATTGTGTAGTTCTGTAGAGCATAAATTGTTGTATGGGAAAAAAATTGTTACTTACGAATCTTTCCTTTTTCTTATATAGTATCTGTAATTTATATCATATGACTTACATATAATACTCAAAAAAAAAAAAAATTAAGAGAGCATAATGCTAGCTATATATTAGCATCAATGTAGCCCCTTCCTATTCATGCTTCACAAGATCATGATCATTATTCATATGGCAAGCGACAAGTGTGTGAGCGTGTGTGTGTGTGTGTGTGTGAGAGAGAGAGAGAGAGAGAGAGAGAGAGAGAGAGTGTGGTGTCCATAAGGCTTTATGAATGTATGGTCCTCACATCATATTATTATTGTTAGATGGGATGTCACAAGATTTTAATAAGATCCTCCAATTTTGGTATGTTTTTGTTATTCTTAACTGAAAATGATTGTTTGTATTTTTAATCTTTTTTTCCAAATGAGGTTCTTATTCAGATAATACTTGTTGTCTTTCTTAGAGCTAAGGAAAAAACTTATGACACGTTTAAATGACAACACACTCTATTGTAGTATGCACACATGACTACATAAAGCATTCTATAACTGTATAACATGACATGAATCATGGACTATGTACTTAAAAATAGTATTTATCGTAGTTAAAATCCACATACATCAAGTATCAAAATGCGTGATGTTGAAGCCTAAAATGTGTATGCATAAAACCCACATGCTTTATCCGAACGATAAGAATATTAAAATTCAATTTGTAAGTAAGGTATCAGATTAAAGCCTGAATGCTTGAAAATCATATTTCTTGCTTTAGAAACATTGTGATTTACCTTCTTATGATTATAAAGTCATTGGGGACACCCTACATTACTTATGGTACCATGTGTCACGTTAAACATTTAGCAAACGTCAATTTATCCGTAGTTGCATGTACCTAATAAGTTTCCCACCATCGAATCGTCTTGTCCACCGACAACTATTGTGCATAATTAATAAAGTATTATATATTTCATTACCATTCAAATATATATATATATATATATATATATATATATATATATATATATATATATATATATATATATATATATATATATATATATATATATATATATATATTCGTTACAATTACATTCAACATGAAATTGTCAAAAAAGAGTGAGACCCTCACATATTAACTGTGGTTGCTGTCTTAGACAATGACAGAAGCAAAAAGAATTCCAAACATAGTGCTGGGGGTTTAGAAGTCACATTCACCTGCCTCAACTCAACTCATAGTTGTGACTTGTGACTTTGATATGTATTTATTTTTTTTATTTTTTTATGATTACAAAATCTGAGTTTTATGAAGTTAAAACTCAAATAAGATTATGTCTTTTTTCCAAGAAAGATCAACATGAAAAAAGCACAAACTCTCTCATCGACGACTCCATTAGCGGGTCCCACGACCGTCATAATGAATGTAAGTTACTATATACCATAATAAAAAAGGTGATGCGTAAGCTTGAGCATCACAAACCAATGTTTTAAAAACCGGTTTTTTAATTGAACCGGTCGAGTGATGTTTTCCGGTTTAACCGGTTCAACTGGATGGTCAAACCGGTTCTATATTTTTATATGTTTTTAATTATCCTGTATACATTGATTACAAAAACTTGTATCTTTTTAGTATTACAAACGTAAATAGAATGCAACATATAAAAACAATCATTATAGAAGTCAAAATCAAACAAAAAAGACCAAAACAAACACAAAAATCCAAGAATGTCCGGTTCAACCCGATCCATTCCGGTTCAATTCAGCCGGTTGAACCGGTTTTTTACCAAAACCGGCTGGTTCAATCCGGTCAGGAAATCATTATAAAACCGGTCCAAATCGAACCACTCTCACCTCCGGTTCCCGGTTCGAACCGGTTTTTAAAACAGTCACAAACATGTGTTAATGTATCTTAGGCCACCACTGGGGGGGTTTAGGAAGAGTTTAATGGATAAAAAAATATGATGTGACTTTGTATGGAATGAAAATACCATTGGGAGGTGAGTTTAATGAAATAGGAATCAATCCCCATTCAACAGTGTCATGGTAATTTGCTTTTGTTTTTTAGTTTTTTTTTTTTTTTTTTATTGCTTTCTCAATTTAATATACCAATTTATAAATTTATATTGAAAGTAACGTTTGATTTTTTTTTTCAATAAACAAACCATATATTATGTTTATTGTTTTTTGAATTTTCATACTTTTTTTCTTTTTAATTCGTAACTTTTAATTTCCAAATTAAAAAAATAATAATAATAAATTAAAAAATAATAATAATAATATTTAGTAATTGTAACTTTGAAATTTTAGTTAATGTGATATTTTAGTTTTATTTATTAATATTATTTATAAAAATATATAATAAAATACTTATGTGGTAATCCATTGAACACTTAAGCAGTGGCAGACGCAAAAGATTTGAAGATGTGTGCCGCTCGTATACGAAGGTGGTGCACTTAAAAGGAAAAAACAATACACTACAGGGCGGAATCGGAGTAGTAGCCCGGGACCCCAAATGCACTACACAGGTCCGCCACTGCACTTAAGAGTTTAAAGGAGTATAGAGCTTAACAAGTAAAATGGTATAGTTAATGGAATGTTGATATGACAATCTATTGAACTTTTAAGAGTTTAATGCATTGAAGATGACCTTACATCAGAATGATAATATTGGAATCCATAGACATCTTACATGGTATAAGAGTGAGCTCCTAACTCTTTCATGGCTTCAACCTTATTGTATATCCTTATTGAGTCTCCTCTTTCAAGAGTGTTACTTGTATCTCATGTTGATGTGATATAGTGTTATAACAAAGTATATATGTTGAAGTCTCTATCTCTCCATAAAAGTTCTTTTGGAGAGACAAAATTAGGCTCATATATAAATATAAATATAAGTATATTCATACATGAATACATCACCTCCCACCCGCCACCAACCACCACCACCACCACCATCTCCGCCACCACAACCAATCACCGCCAACAACCGTCACCTCTGTCACCACCCGTCGCCGTTATATTCATATATGAATAATCATTTCTGCTATACTTATTTATATATGAATATATGTATTCATAAATGAATATGATCTTTTCCTTTGCAATAAAAAGATATAAAATTGATCTTTTATATTTTATAATTTAACTCAATTCAATTGTATTCCATTAAAATAAAATTTAGAGAAAATAAAATTTGATTTGTTTTGTTTAAAACTACGTCGTTTAAAAGGTTTTATATCTTATCTTATCTTAGGGACGTGTGCGTGTGTGTCTATATATATATATATATATATATATATATATATATATATATATATATATATATATATATATATATATATATATATATATATATATATATTTGTGGGTGACAATAATGCTTTTCCTAATTTCTTTGTTTCTAAAAAAGAAGTGGTTGGGAACATGTTGTTTTCACATTAATTATAGTGTGTTTGTTTGTTGAACTGAATAGTGCCTTAAATTTCAATGTGGTTGACAAATGGAAGGAAGGAACGGACTTACCAAATGATCGTACAATTAATATGATGGAAAAGTTAATCACGATATTAGAATTAGAAGGGTGATGTCCGGAACCGAAACTTCATTTGTGAATCCCAAATCCTTATCGTTAAAACAAACATAATGAAATGGGTTTTTGTATATTTGAGCATATAATATAATATTCAAAAGATTAAGCCGATTAAAGGCGACTCTTTCCACTCATTTACTTATAAATAAGTTGGTTGGAGCCTTGAAGTGTGTTTTATCTTTAAGGATTTAAGCGAGTAAAACAAAAAATAGCTAAAATTTTAACGGGTCAAAATGGGTTGAAAGAGACTATAGTCCTCCATCTAATGTGGTAACATCCTGAATTGTCTTTATTCACAAAGTAAAAGAAAATGATTATAATTATAACAATGCAATATTTATACAAATATCTACGACTAATATTTATAAGCAAAGAGACAGACAAAATATTTGTATATCAACATAATTAAAGGAAAATCACCTATCAACCCGCTTATATTTGTTCAAATTATAAAGATAAGTGTTAGTATATAAAGTCTAAATATGGTAACGGAGCACATGTCGTCGTTACGGCCCAACTCTTGAAAAAAGTGGGCCCGGGCAAGGTGTATGTTTATTTTGCAAAGGCATAGTTATGTATTATGTAATGCAATATAAAAGATAGGATTCACAAAATAACAAAGCTATTATCTGTTACCCATAACTCATATTTTTTTGTTACCCAAAAATCATAATAACTTAATACTTATGTTTCCTACTAATATGGCGATTTGCTTTATTTATTACATATTGTCATCGCATATAATGGAATATAAGTTGCTGCTATTACAGATAATGAATATTAAGTTCATTGTTATCATATGTAAAAAAAATACAAGTATTTTGTTATAAGTTACATTTTGCTTTTATTGTCAAAAGTCTATCCGATGGTTATTTATTAAACATGTACCCCGACACGTTGGGAACGAATTTGAGATGCAGTTCCATCACTAATACACGGCCCATTACTATTTCTACTTTCAAATGGACTTTCACACTACCTCTTGATCCATCTTAATATTATTAAGGAAATAAGAAATTCCATCTTCAAAGTTCAATGTAAAACAAGCACTATAAAATCAAAACTATGAATAAGTTGGCACTTAGAAATCATGATGGACATATTGGTTGGAAATGAAATTAATATAATTACTTAAAACTCACAGTGACTCAACGATGATGATCATGATTGTTTATAAGTATTCTGAATTATACAATGTATAACTATAAAACAAGATTTATGAAATTCAACACCATAGTTTTGGACACAATTTTTAACTCGAAGCATCTGTAACAAGATATGTATGAAATTCAACACACACACACATACACAGAGAGATTGTAGAGGATGTTACCACACAATGTACATCTACAAATGCTTATGGTACAAGTACAACACCGGTTGTTAGATAGATAAGATGTGAAGGAAATGAAGATAATTGTGATTCTGAAATAGAGTGATGGATTGAGAGACTATAAAATGATCACACGGGGCTATGGCTATCTATACAAATAAAATCATAAAGAAAATAAAATAAAATTGTACCTTAGCAAAATTCACCCATAATCCTTTAAATAGGCAAACAGGTTGAAATTGCATTGCGGCTTTCATTAAATAATGAGATTGAGGTTTCTCCCAACATCTTGGAGATAAAATGTTGCTGCTGCTTAGACTTTCCTGTCAAGTGCTGCACTCTGATTGCTATTCAATCCATACTGCATCCAAACGGTCCAGAATGAAAAGCAAGTTAGGTTTCATATTTTCTCCATTTTATCATTTTTTATCGTAATAGTCATTGAAAAGCACAGTTCTTTTTGTTCAAGAATCTACTGTTGATCTTCTTATTGTGACCAGATTCTAGGAAATTCTCAAAGGGGGCAGTTCTACACTTATAAATATATATTCCTTCACAACTGTAAATAACTTAATAAGAGAGAAAGAGAGGGACATGGTAAATGTTTGATGAATTCCTAACAAAAGTCAAAAACAAGTAGTAGGTAGGTAGGTAGGTAGGTAGGTGTATGAAAATTGAAAAAGAGGGGAGTACGGGTACCTTTTCTCTTATCCTTGAGGTCCAGATGTCAGACTTAAAAGCTTTAGCATCACCACCACTAGTTGAGGTTGAGGTTGAGGATGATGCTTGGTTTGAATTTGAGTTTAAGAGGGGCTCCCATGCTTTCCCTCTTGAACCAGAAACAGAACCTTCCTCCAGATCATCATCCTTCTTCTTCTTCTCTGAAGACACCATCATTCCCAAAACTACAGCAAGAAGTAGACTTACCACCTGAAAACAAACAAACAAACAAGACAATTATCTGAAAACAAGTCATTTAGAAAAGGTCACAAGAATCATGCTCTTAGAATTCATAATGTAAAAAAGTAGCAACTAATATGAATATTTTAGTGAGTGTGTTTGAATTTTGATATAGAATAGGAAAAGATATCTTACCTGAATTACAATTATAGCAATGCCAACCCATTTACAGATATCAATATTATCTTCTATGAAACCCCGAATGCTATCAATTTCTCCAGTTGGGTCCTGTGGTAGATCCTAAAAATTGCCAAATGTGATTACGTGGGTGAAAACTCTCAAGATCAACATGTATATATATGTCTCAAGAATGATTACAATGTAACACCTTTTCCCAACGATGATCAAGTGCAATGAATGCCACTAAAGCCACCTCAAGCAGGATCAATACAACTTTCAGTATGGTGTACTGAAAAAAATTTCAAGCTAAGGATGTAACTCGGAGATATTTGAACCAAATGAATCAGTAAAAGACATGGCATGAGAAGCCCTATTAAATTATTGCAAATTAAATCAAGTATGTATTATCTACACAGAAGAAAGAAAAAAGGATACGCAACAAAGGCAACACCCATTGATTGCTTCAGCTGCAATATGACCAATACAAGAGATACAACAAAGTACAACACCCAATCCCATGAATGCGTATATGAACCTGCCACAGAATATAGCACCAATTTGTCAATATATAAACAACTATTCTATCACACTGCATAACCCATACCCTAACTAACACCAAAATCAGACAACTTAAGTCAAATTCAACTCATCCAAGTTAGAGAATGTACATCCTGCAGTTATGTGAGAATTGCAGTTGTTGACGAATTGACCACCAATTTTTCATTTCTAGGTCTTTAATAATAGAAACATTTTTTTAGAAGACACCCTAACGGATAACTCTCCAGAGACAAATAAAAATTAATATTCACCAGGGAGCAGGAATGGGATTGGAATCGAGCTTTATCCCGCCATAGAAACTGTCAATCGTGCCATCTCCAAGATTCAGATGAATCACTTGATAAGAAACCCTACCCGTGTTGAAAATGGAGAAAACAGATTCTGACGAATTCGGCGATGGGGCTGGAGCTAAATCTGAAGGAGGTGGTGATGATGATGGTGATGGTGATGGTGTTGGTGATGGTGATGATGATGGTGATGGTGATGGTGATGGTGATGGTGAAGGTGGAGGTGACGGAATCGGCAAGTGTTTCTCCCACTGATTCAACATATACCCAGAGTAAACAATGATCGAAATTCCAAGGAATGTTTGGAAGAAAATGAGGAATTTGAGAATGAATGCCACAAATGAATGGCAACAAGACGTCCTCATTTCTTCGTAAAATTTTCAAACAAATCGCTGATTTTGCAGAGTTGAATGCAAATCAAACCCTAGCTTCCGATTTATTTCGGTCTTGACCCTTTTCGGTTGCTGTTCGTCGAAAATCCGTTGAATATGTGAATATTCGACGTAAAATGAAACGGTAGGATTGTGATTGTGCCGGTTGTTGTTAGTGATTAAGGTCTAGTGGGCTCATATGACCCAATCTGAGATGGGCTGAAACATTATTGACCATTTTGCTTCGGTGTTTCAGTAGTTGTAAATTGAAATTGTCCGCTTTGTAAATTACTTATGATTTTGTGGTTTTAGTGACCTAATAATCAAACATGAAAAAAAAAAAAAAAAACATGGAACGATTTGTGGCCAAGAAAAAAAAAAAAAAAAAGTGATTATTAAGAGTGAATATAAAATTCCTAACAATCAATATCTAATAACCACTACGACTAAGGTTTGGTGCATAAAAACCAAATGTTTACATTTTTTTTTTGAAGGATTATATCGAAGTTGTGAGCATATTAGGTAACTAGCATGTGAGCCCGGGCTGAATCTCTACAGTTTTTTTCTTACGAGGATAAAGAAGTAGCAGTTTGTGTATAAATTTGTAACTAACTACATATCTAGATTAATTCACACTTTTTCATGTTATATGAGAAGGTAGTACATGAAGCACCCAACTAAAAATCATAACAAAAAAAATTATAATATGAATGAATGTAATGTGAAGTAGATAAACGTCTCCCATATGTCAAGAAATGGAAGAAAAAAAAATCATGATTTTATTTGAATGTTTGATCATTTACAATGTACTAAACAAAGCTAAAACTTAAACCTACACATAAATCTAAGTAAAAATGATATTGTCGTAGTGACCGAAGAAGCCACTCTGCAAATAGTAAACATTTCATCACCAAATCTATGTTATTTTTTAATAACTTAATCTATATATGCAGAAGCTTTCAAGGCTGACTTTCAAACTCGAATTTATATAAAAGAAAATAGGAGAAAGAGATTGTGTGCCTGCTTCCATTGAAGCTTTTGGATCTGAAGAACAAACTTGGTTTTTCAGTTGATCTTAAGACAACTCTAAAAACCCCTTGGCAATTAGAAAAAATGAATTTGTGAAGTAAATTTTGTGCAAATTGATTTGCTCCTCATCACATATATTTATAGACGGAGATAAATCCTAATGTGAGAGATGGAATGGATCTTAAGAATCTTGAGTCAAATTGGGAACTCAAGCCACAAATGATAAGTGAATATCGGTCCATCAACAATCTTATATGTTTGCCATAATATTTTGGATTTAAATGATAACAATATATATGTTCATTTATAGAATGGTCCTATGATTTTCTAACAATCTCCCATTAGACCATGAATATATAAATGTACATATAACCATATTAACGCTTTAATGTATGTTATCATTATATGGGTACCCTTAAATAGTCTTGTCAATTAATCATAATTGTATAAGATCAAGGTGGTCTTTGTTACAATTTACGTAACTAAACCATCAATGGCCACATCTATATATATAAGTATAAATAACGACATAGATTAAACATGATGCGTGGTCACAAAATCAAAATTGATTTCTAACGTGTTACTCTTTAACTTGAAGTGAGATCAAACTTCAAATAAGTGCAACTAATAATGGAATTAGCTGAATTCTTAAGTCTATACAGAAAAACATAGTTGTTCTTAAACCAAAAATAAAGCACCCAAAAATAAATTATAAAACTTCCACTAAAACAAAATATAATCAATATTTATCACACCCATGTGTGTAGCGTGATCATTAAAGACCTTAGGAGGTAATCCATTCGTGAGAGGATCTGTTATCATGGAGTTTATCCCGATGTGCTCTATTGTGATTTTTCCATTTTGCACTATTTCTTTAAGAATCAGTAACTTAATGTTAATATGCCTTTAATATGTAGAACTTTTGTTGTTGTTGGAATACAAAATTGCTGACATATTATCACAATACAACTTTAGTGGTCTTTCAACACTAATAATACACAACCCCATGACTAAGTTCTGCAGCCATATTGCATGATCTGATGCCTCGAAACATGCTACAAATTATGCCGCCGTGGTGGAAGAAGTTACCAAAGTTTTTTTCGCACTCTTCCATGAAATAGTTCCTCCTGCTAATAAGAAAATGTAGCATGATGTGGATTAATAACTGTTTGGCACCCAACAAAATCAGAATCAGAATACATAATGATATCCAAAACATTTGATTTCCTATATGTGAGCATGAAGTTTTATTCTCTATATATATATATCTCAAACCCTGTTTGGCTGCTCTCCATTGGTCCATGCCTAGGTTACTTAGATATCTTCCCAACATCCCTACAATGAAAGATATGTCGAGACGTGTACACACTTGAGCATACATAAGACTCCCAATAATTGATGCATAAGGGATCTTCTGCATCTCTTTTAACTTCAAGGTCATTTTTAGGGCATTAATTGAGACTGAATTTGTCTCCTTTCGAAACAGGGGTGTCTCCTGGTTTGTAGTTTTGAATGCTAAATCTTCAAGGATCTTTTCAAATATAGCTCTTTTGTGATAATCCTAGAATTCCATGAGATCTGTCTCGTTGATTTAGGATTCCTAATACAAATGAGGCTTCCCCAAGATCTTTCTTCCCCAAAATGCTTTGAAAAAAATTTATTGGTCTCATATAAGACCCCTAAATCATTGGTGGCACGTAATATATCATCAACATACAATACCAGAAAGTTGTATTTACTCCAACTGAACTTGTGATATACATAATCATCTACTATATTTGCCTTAAAACCAAGTGAGACAATGATCTGATGAAACTTATGGTACCACTGGCGGGAGGCTTGCTTGAGTCCATAGATAGATTTATTTAGTTTGCAAACCATTTCCTTTGAGTCTTTCGACACGAAGTTTTCTGTTGCACCATATATATAGTTTCATCAATGTCACCATTGAGAAATGTTGTCTTAACATCCATCTGATGTAACTCAAGATTGTAATATGTAGCTAGTGTCATGATCAACCTAAAAGAGTCTTTTGTTGAAACCGGAGAGAAAGTCTCTTTAAAGTCAATTCCCTCTTTTTGAGTAAAGCCCTTAGCTACAAGATGTGCCTTATATGTTTCCACATTACATTTTGAATCCCTTTTGGTCTTAAAAATCCATTTGTAACAAATAGGCTTTGAACCTTCATGTAATGGAACAAGATCCCAAACTTTATTGTCTTGCATAGACTTATACTCATTGTTCATGGCGTCAATCCACTTTTGATAATTTGAACTTTGCATGGCCCGAGAGAAGTTGATTGGATCATTTTCAATCATTCCATTTGGTTCTTCATTTTCTTGGAGATATACATAGAAATCGGAAGGGATTACACTTCTCCTTTCTTTAGTGGATCTCCTAAGTTGAGGTTGTTGAGGTTATTCATTATTAATAAGATAGTGAATAACATTGTCTTATTAAGGTCCCTGAATTACTTCTTCTCCGACAGACACATTAATTTGTGTATTGTCAAAAGTAACAGTAGGGATCGAGATTGATTCCTCCTCAAAGTCAATTCCCTAACCTTATTTCTCTACCCAAACTCAACATCCTCAAAAAACGTTGCAGTTCCTATTTCAAAAAATTATTGTTTTGCAGAATCATAAAACTTATAACCCCTGGATCGTTCAGAATTGTAACATCCATAAATAAATGATACGACTTGAACCCCTTTAAATTAGAGTTTTTACATTATTAGTCCCTTAGTACGTCGGGCGTACTTAGGAGTACGCTCAGCGTACTAGGACCTTTTCTGGCCACAGATGTTTGGAGGTACGCTCGGCGTACGCGCCAGGGACCATAAAACCCTAATTTCGGACTTGAGGCCTATATAAACGACTTTAAGCCCTTGGGACTAAACCTTGGAGAGCCTCCACTACTCTTGAACGTCATTTCACTGCTGAAAGCCTTGAGAAATCATTTTTTATCTTTAAAAGTGTGCATTTGTGATCTTTAGTGTTCATTTCAAGGAGAAGAGTTGGTCAAGCAAGCTTGGATCTAGAGGGTGCTTCAAGATCTAGCATCATAATCATCTTATAGAGCTCTTAGAGGTAAAAAGACTGCACCTTTCCTCTTTGCTCTTTAGATCTAGCTAGGGTTTATGCAGTTGGTCCTTTTGATGGATTATGGGCCTCATTTGTTGGCTAGATCGTCCCCATTCACGTAAAGTTTGCCACTTTACGTGATAGATAGGTTGTGGGGGAGTGGATCTATGGATTGGAGCCCCTGCATGGCTTGAAAAGCCATTGTATGGATTAAGAACTGGAGGTACTCGGCGAGTTGGATGAAGATAGGCAGGAACTTGACGAGTTGGAAGAAAAACTCCGCGAGTCTGATGAATGTTGCCTTGGACTCGGCGAGTCTGGTCGAGGAATCCTAACCTTTTCTGGTTAAGCCGTGAATCGATGAGTCGAAGGATTACTCGGTGAGTTGAGCATGAAGGGACTCATAGTTCGTGGGACTCGGCGAGTCTTGGGGTGACTCGACGAGTTGGGTCGCGGTATGGGAGTGTTCAGAGCCTAGGGACTCGACGAGTCAGCGGGCTGACTCGGCGAGTAGAGTCAGTCAGGAAGTTTGACTTTGACTGAGGACTTTGACTTTGACCAAGAGTTGACCAGTTGACTTCCAGGGGTAATTTGGTAATTATTGGTATTTGTTGAGTTCAGTCTTTTAGTATTATCAGTGGTGGAGTTTGTGTCGGAGGTTGGAGCAGCGTGATCTTATCTTTTTAGTCAGCAGTTGTGAGGTGAGTTATCCTCACTATATTAACAGGGTCTAAGGCACTAAGGTCGGCCCTTTAACGGATGGGAATCCGGGTAGTTGTTATGTTATTACTTTGCTATATGTTTGCATCCTGGTAGTTAGGATGGTATATGTTAGAGACTAGGCTAAGGTCGATATCCTGGTATATAGTATGATGCTATATT